TTTAGCATAGAACACATTATCTAAATGATAAAACCGTGAATTTAAAACCCACTGAATATGCCTGAAATGGTAAATCAGTGAAATTTAAACCCAGTGAAAATTAGTCATTTTACGGTAATTTGTTTGGCTTATGAGTTTAGACCATCCCCCTTTAGTAGCTGCATTTCTGTGGCTATTGGTTTTGCTGAAGTTCATTTTTTTTATTGTAACTTCGCAATCACTCCGCAAGACAAAATAACCTAATGGACAATAACAAGCTAGAGCTACACAACTGTAGCCTGGAATCCAGAAATTCCTGCACTCAAACAATGGTCTGGTGAATCCCTATGTAACTAAGTAGTCGACACAGAATTCTGTGTCATCACTGATTGGCTGTCTCCAGGATTTCAGTACATTACCATGGGAACTTGCAGACTTACAGACTTTTCCCGTACACAAGGCCAGCCCACAACACTCCAGACCGATTCAATAGTTTATTATTTGTAGACTGCATCTACCGGTAATCTAAATAACTGCAGCTACCATCTTATTCTTACTAAGAAATAAAAAATTAGCAATAATATTATGTGTCTATACTATAGGTCTTACTATTAAAATTCAACAAATGAACAGACACATGAAAACTAATACTGTAGAATACCTACAACATCAAACATATATTTCTTTCAAAGAAAAAAAAATGGAAGTTAACAAAATAACAATAACATTGTCACCCTCCGCAATCTATATTGTATGGACATGTTCGAGCGATCCGGAATTGTTTAAACCGGTCGCGCACGGCAGGATTTGGTGTCGCTCTGTTTAAGTGTGAAGTTGCGGTGCAGTAAAAATTCACGGCACTACTACAAGAATGGGCATGTTTGTCACTTCAGAGTTCTTTGTACAATCAGACACATCGCTTTCCAAACATTTCATTACAAAGTCGACTCGATCGATCGATGCTCCCTTTTTACAAATAACATGTATCTAACATCATAAGCATTGACACAGATCGATCGTTACAAACTTTACCCGCCAACGGATTCTCACAAAGCTCTAATTTGCGATCGGTTAAGTATTAGCAAGTCTGTATTTAAGTGCCACATTACCTCATACATGCATGGGAACGCAAACGATGGACATACAGGAAGCGGGGCACAGCCAAACGCGGCGTCTTTACCTCTTGACCTCTGGTGACCTTGCGCAATGCATGCCGGCTCAAGCTATTCAATGATCGCACACGAGAGATACATAATATCATAGACCTATTTGGAGGACTATGATAAGCCACAAAAATTCCCAAATGTACATTTTTTCTACCCCAACCAAATATAAATTGTCACTTACATCAAAACCCTAATTAAAAAAGTATCATGTACCATACTTAATTAAAAATGATATAATACTATTTTATGATCTCAAATGGGATACGATATCAATAAAGATTTACTTACTTTACTTACTAGGCTAAATCCAATGGGGAGGCAATGGGTAGCTGGTACAGGTTACAGGAAATAAATAAGCCATTTTACGTTTTTACAGGAAATAAAATGAAAGTTTCATTTACAGTAAAAAAAAATAGGTTTTTAAATTTTACAGATAAAGCAAATTTCTAATTATAATATTTTTGATAATTTGCGTTTTAGAATCAAAATTGGAAATTGCGTACGAATTACTACAATTAATTTGGAAAATGCTTTATACGCTTACAAAAAATAATATCTTTGTACAAATTCCGGACGAATAAAATAGCTGATTACATTTTACACTTGTCCATGTTTACGAATTACGTTTTTTATTTATTTAAATTACATTATTACGAAAATAAAAACAATTGATTACAGCTTACGAAAATACCCCTTGGCGACCCTCTCCAATGACTCAACGTTGCTAGTATAAAATATAACTAAAAAATATACTGTTTCCTTGCTAGTAATAAAGGAATATCATTATCTGATCTTAATTTATAATAAAAAAAATAGTTTTGTTTTTGTAACTCGTTCTGTTTTCTGAGTTTCTGGGTATTGAAGTGTTTCTTGTCCCCATGTCTCACCATAATCACACCGACAAACGCGAACAGAGTCGGTATCGTGTTCGTCCGGCAAGCTAGCAGAGATTGCAAATTGGGTTAATACAGCTACAATTTTCTGGTTAAAATTTACAGTTGCATTCAAATTTTGTAAAACTTAATATTGCACGATCTGTTAATAGCATTACACAAGTGTTTGCACGAGTTTCCAATTTGTTTTGAGTCTAACCTCAGCCAACTAATATTGGTTGTTCGAGGTATAACCATGGACGTGAAAGTACGTTCATGAAGTGTATGACTTCTAAGAGGTGATGAAATAATCGAAATCGTTATCACCACACTGTTACATTTTGGTCACAAATGCTTCTGGCGGGACACCTAAACTACGTCCGAGCACAGTTCCTCCCCAGTTGATTTATTTGTTTGAGGGCGCCATATTCTTCAGCGAAACGTCTTCTAAGCCCGAAACCTTATGTTCCGAAATGATACAAAGTAGCAGAAAAATGAGTAAATATAAGCCCTAACGGCCCACGATGATGGCAAACAAGGCTTGATTTGCTACTTTCTCTGGCTGATATTTGACATATTTTAGGCGATTTTGTTGGGCTTTTTATTTGGGCTTTGTATTTTATACCAAAGAGGCCAGGAATAAAACAGTAAAAAACAGTGAGCCCGAATAAATCAAGAAAACAGCTGCAGCCGAACCTTCGCTTGGATAGTACCCGTTCTAAACTTGCTTGCACCAAGTCTTTTACAGTCAAAGAAATTGCTATTAACCATGCTTTGTATGTTAACTTAATGTTAAGTTAGATTTCATAATAAATGTCAGTTTTCTGTCTTGTCTACCTTTTTGGCGCGCCCGTGACAATTTTGGACACCCCGGATGATGTCACCAGTGTAATCAAATGAGTACGTTCTTAACAATACCAATTGTGTATTATCCAACTGTATCCGAACGAAACCCTTACTACGTATTATGTTTCATATGTTTTTTTTACTATTAAAGTCCGATTTAATTACAGTCTTATATGGTTCCCTCAAATTCACCTCGTTCATGGGCATTTATTCCAAGCTTTCTTTTAGTGTTATGAGTTGTCAGTGAAAAATGCTGACACATACAACAAATTCTACGGCTTTTCTCACGTTTTCTCGAGTCACGTGCACTGTCAAGTAGGTATTCTATGTTTCAGCATTTCTGAAACTAAAGATAATTCCCGTAGTATATAAAAATGTAATAAATACAAATTTGTGATTGTTGTGTTGAAATTGCAAAATTAGTTATTTAACGAAAGTCATATACAGACGGCGATAGTGACCTGTTTACCACACATCAGAGTGTCCGGGTGTTATGACTTAACAAATCAAAAGGTAAAAAACAAACAAAAACGGAGGAAAGGGCGGTTATAATTTTA